ATATCACTCTACTTATGCTTATGAGCATCTTGGGTGACCAGGCCAGTTAATTCTCAACCTTTTTCCATTAACTTACAGATCTATATATGATCAAAAGAAACGGTTTTGAGGAAGTCCAAATAGTGCGTTTAATTTTACTTATAGCGGTATAAAGCACAATAAAGAGACCAGATACTTGTTACCTCTTCGTATGTTACCAAAAATACGCTCTGCTGTAACGGCTTGTGCAGGCCCAAACCCCTTCGCTGATACCGAGAGTGGATAGGACAGCAATTCAGTATGTAAAGCGCTGTTGCGATTATTTCACCAGGCCAGGAACCATCTGACGAATTATTCACATGAGCTTCCACATTAGCTTCCATCAACAGTTCAACTGCACTCTCCACCCAAAAACCTCCTGGAAGAAATGTTGAATGAAACGGAGTCAATAATCTGTGTGTATTCGAACCACCCTAGGGGTAACTAACATATAGTCAACACCCCCCTATATAATAAACCGCTGGTTCATAAATTTCTAACAATTGTCTAGATTAAGAAAAAAAACAAAAATTTCTCTAGGAAGCCCTCCAGCAGAAGAAAAATCCATAGCAGCCCACTTTGATCGTACTCACCTTTTCCATCACAGGCAACCAGAGCAGTAAACCGCCGAGGACGAACATCATCCAGTTTAAAGCCCTCCATAGTTGACAACACATGACGAGAAAGTTTTAAAACATCATCCTTTGAGCTTCCGTCTCTTGTTTCGATTTTACCCACACCAACTGTTTTCTTTAACAGTTTACAATCGATGCCAATGCTTATGGCATTTTTCCATTCGGCGAGCTTATCCTCCGGGACAAGCAAAACGACTTCTTTAGAATCAGTTGCCAAGAGAGACTTCATGATAGGCAGCACACCGAGTCCTTCCTTGGTAGAAATGTCATTTGACATAACTATGGCAACAGAGGAGGCGTGGCTAAGTCTTAATGCTGCCTTGGCAAGTGAGTCAACTGTATCGTCAACTACACAACTTAAAAGAGATTTTATTGGATCCCGTCTAAGCAGTTTTTTAAGTTGCTGAATCAGCTCCAGTGCTTTGTCGGACACAAGGGAACCAAAAACAGGGTTTTCAGTTATGAACAGGGCTTTTGTTTGCAGAAATTCCATCCACCTAGGGACGTTCATCTTGTTGAACGCGTCATTGTTGAGATCACTTATGAAGTTACAACAATTCGCAGTTGGGCTTAGGCTAATCGCCAGGGGAAGCTCTGAAGAGAAACAAAATAACATAGTGTTCGTTAATCAATTGATTAAAATGCCGGCCTTACGGTTTCATTTAGTCGGATAGAGATGAGAGAGCAATTACTTCAAGCTACGAAAATGTGAAATCCTGCTTGTGCAACGAAGGAGGAATGATGATGACTACGCGCGAGTGTTTTGAAACCTCTTGCGCAAGCGACGCAAGTAGTATAAGGGGGCACTATGCTAATAGCTACACAGCTAATTAGAGAAGAGGATTATGCACTCCGTGGTACAATTGAATCGACCATATGGCCGGATTGGCATTCAAGATGACGATTTGATGTACCACGCGGTTTATAATCCTCTTCTCTGATTGACCGTGTACCAGATTGTACCCTTATATTATTGACGCATTGAACTCCATAGTCCGGAGCAAATTTCCTGCTATTCAGAACGTTGAGAGAGCACCTCGCTTGGAGAAACGTATTTTGTCAAACATACAGGGCATGGAAGCCTGGTCACTTGTGGTTTGCTACTATCTATGATGATTCCTTAACTGATTTTGTCGTACGAAATCATTGGTAAGAGTCGTTTGAAAGGTTTTGAATCGCGTCACATACTTGCATTAATTATCGCCATCGTGGCAGTTGTACCACAACCCCAGTACATGCATACATCTCCTTCCCTTATATTTGGTTTGTCATCAAACTCAGGATTATGCAGATCTTCCACTCCAATCCAAGAAGCTTCACCAATGTGCGTAGGGGCTCCGTGTACTTTGTCCAAAAAAGCAGTCACCTGCGCGGCCCTCTCTACTAAGTTTCGAGGCATTGGGCGCATCGACATGATTACTTTTCCAGAGAAAGGACCTGAGGTGACACATGGAACCTTAGTCTTGTAACTAGGCACACTGCGTCCGATCTGCACGTGTCGAACTGGAAGGTCAGCGTCTTGTAGCGCGAGCTCGAAGGAGCTACTGCAGCCAACGTAAAAGGTAACAAACTCGTCGAAGGGTATATCTAGTAAGTCTGTTACGGTTTTGGAACAGACCCCATTTTCATAAATACCATATGCTGACTGATCCGTCCTATCAAAATATAATCGAAAAAAATAGAGTTAAAGTTAATTGGAGAACATTTTATTTATTTGAGAAAATTTTGAGAAATAAATGCAAAGCTAAGAAAATGCGATAGATTTCCAAGAGCAAATGAACTCTTGTTTTAAACTGGATAAGAAAAAAAGAAATTTTGAAAGAAAACTTAGCACACGCTTGTTTCGTCATCAAATGAAAACCCTCACTTTAAAGCACAAAGCGACAACTAACTGTGACTTTCTCTTTTTCTCCTACATTCTCCAATACTCTACGCTCTCCACGGTTCGACGTTTTTACGAGTTCTGTTTTCATAACGTCATACCAAGAGGGTCCGATGCAATATGTAAAAATAAACTTCGTGTTACAAACAAAAATATCAACGCCGCCGAGGTCTTTCGGTCTTCGTGGATTTTCTCTTTTTCATTTTACCTTCAAAATCTCATTTCAAAGGTAGATTTTTTTCTAAAAAATGGTCGAGTCTAAAATAAAAATCTAGCCATCTCACAAATTACCGAATGTCCACATTTGCTGCCAAGGGTGGAGCTGACACTTCTCCCGTGTTGCTTCTATAAAGTAAGGGGCAAGGGGCGTGGTTCATTCGGCAAAATTCTGCGAAGTGTTCTGCCTGGCTCGACGGAATTATGTGAACGCTAGTTTGTGTAAAACCATTGGACATGCCATTTGTATGGGCTTCGGGGAAGACGTTTTGTCGGAACTGACTCCTGGCCTGAGCTCCTGTCCAAGATGCACGGTCCTTTAAAGAAAACATCCCGGGATCTGAATGTAAGAGCAGAAGGAAACATATTTGGACAATATAAAAAGATAGTATTTTTTGGTCATGTCACGAGCTTGGGACAAAAGAAATGGTGAGCCCTCATAAGGTATCGAACCTCAGACCTTTGGATTTCGAGCTCAGATGCTCTACCACTGAGTCACAGGGACTCCATGTTTAGCTTAGCCATAAAAAGATTCATATGAAGAGGTTCATATGTGAATAAAACGAAAAATCTGGAGTAATCGTCAATCGATAAGAAGGATTTTTATTCATTTCGCTAAATAGTAATTCAGGAAGAGGTTTAGTATTTTGCGAAACCAACTATTTTTCGACTGCGGTGACAATGTGACCTCTTTCGTGTCACAAAAATACGTTGAAACATCCCAAATTTTAAATTACCAAAGATTTTGGCCTCCTCAGTCTTATTTCTATAACCGTATCAAAATATATTTCGCAAAACATGTAATTTTAGGATAGATACTCTTTTGCGAAAAGGGCTATTTTCACCCTTCAATAAGGTCTTTCTTTTCGGGTCGCAAAATTACGTTAAAACTCAACATGATATTATACACCCGAAGATCTTGGTTACCTCCTCCTTCACTATCCATATAAAGTCAATCTCGCAAAGTAGTAATTTTAGAACAATTACTATTTTGCGTAATGGATTATTTACACCAGCGGTAACGATGAAGCCATTCTCGTGTCACGCAATAGGTTTGGTAATATACTAATGAGTAATGTTTAAATTTATTTTCGTGACATGAAAAAGGTCACATTGTCACCGAAGGGTGAAAATAGTCGATTTCGCAAAAAAGTAAATCTTCTTAAATTAACTAAATTGCGAAACGAATTAAAATCCTACTCAATGACTAACGTTTACTCCAAAATCCTCGTGAGAGTTACCTTTACTTTACTAGATGATATACCCTAAGCAATACTAAGCAACTACCTGGTTTGGTTTGGTTTCGCAAAATATTATTTGCCGAAGTAATCTTAAATAAGTTTCAAGGATGGTGTTTTTAATTCGTTTTTCAGTCTAGAGAAGTAGATGTTGACTATCGCACAACTGCCCCGATTAATTATTGTGCGAAGTGATCTTCCTGGCGCGATGAGAAATTCAACTTTATCCTTTATCCTAACGTTCTGTAAATATAGAAACCAAAGGAAAAATATGGCCCACTTAATTCAAGGCTACAGTTGTGGTAGTTACTAAAACAAGAAATGACCTAAAATGACCTAAAATGACCTAAAATGACCTAAATGACCTAAATGACCTAAATGACCTAAAATGACCTAAAACGACCTAAGATGATCTAAAATGACCCAAAATGATCTAAAGTGACCTTGAGTGATTTATAAAATGACTTAAAATAACCCAAAATGGCTTTGAGTGAATTCTTAAATGACCAAAAATACCTAATATGACCTTAAGTGACGTGACAATGCGGCATCGACAAAATATGGATCCGGTCCGTGATCCAATCCGTGATCCGGTCCGTGATCCAATCTGCAAACTCAAGTAATTTTAGGTCGTTTTAGGACATTTTAGAAATCACTCAAGGTCAATTTAGGTCGTTTTAGGTCGTTTTAGAAATCACTCATGATCATTTAGGTTGTTTCAGGTCGTTTTAGGTCATTTTAGGTCGTTTTAGGTCATTTTAGGTCATTTTAAGTCATTCCTTGTTTTAGTAACTACCCCACAGTTGTACGTGGTCATTTTGTCTTGTGCGTAATGAAAGTGTCACTCGTGTCAATTTAAAATGGCTTTAAGGTTTCGCGTTCATTTAGATCGTACAGTCCTTTCTCCGCAATTACACTTAGATTTTCTCAAAAATGTATGCCGTAAGGATGCTATCTAGAGCTGTGTTTGATCGGCCACCGAATCTTTGTTTCTTTGTGGACCGTGGTGCAACGATGTCACGGAAAGTTTCAATCTGATCAACCTAACCGCAATCAAGGTGATGATCTATAACTCAAAAACGAGACTTGCCTAATCTGATCACTGCTTACCTGATCAAAGCTTTTCCGATCTCTTCCGAGAATAGAGAGACAACAAATGGCCTTAATATATAAATTCCCTATATTTGTGTTACGCATTAACTGAGATCCTACGGAAATTGGATACTGTTCTTTATCACATGACCCATCCGGCCCCGCTCACGCCTGGCTTACAAAATCCTAAAGAAAATAGGCAGTCTAAACAACTGCATATGCATGTGGCTGCTGGTATAGCACATTTTTAAAGCATCGAAAAAAAACTAGAAGCTGCGTTAAGACGCTAGAAGATGGTTTTGTGTTAGTTTATATGAATTATGTACGTACAAGAGGATTCTCGGATAGAATAAAAGATGGCGTTCTTTGCAGAACACGTGTGGTAGTTTGACTCACATGAAACAACACAACCGCATATATGCCAACTCTCCCGGATACAGAGCCAATCTCCCGCTCTCCCGTACGGCTGACCAAAACTCCCGGATAAAAGGAAGTTTGGATCAGTTGCCCACAAAAAACTAAGATTTAAACTCCATATATTCCAAAATAAATTCCGAAATCATCTGGCTTCTTATGCTTGTATTACGGTTTCTCGCTTCATTTTCTTGTGTCATGCACGTTGCTCGTTGCAAACAAAAGAAAGAGACTTTCTTCTTCGTTACTCCTATATAATCGAGAGTCTGATTGGATGAGTATTCAACCACTTGAAGTCCCTGACAGAGAGAGATCCACGTTTTTCCCGCGAAATTTCTTGGTGAGATGGGGGGGGGGGGGGGG